GCTAAGCAGAGGTATTGGCCTGAGCCTCGTCTCGCGAGCTTTATCGCTTCTCGGCGTGTGAATTATCGGGTGTGGTGTGTGAAATTGGGTGCGTTCGATTTGGGTTGTATGCGGCTGATGTGACATGGAGCGAGATCTGCCTGCGGCTGCAGGGGTGGAATATAAACTCACTGCAGCCAAGTCGGACAACTTGTCCTAGTGTGCGTGAGACGACTGCAATGGCCGCACTGCCAGAAGGGTGCAGATAAAGCTATACAAATATCACCGCATGCACGTACATTTTACAATAGCCAACTCCTGATCCAAACTGTCAGCAGTGAAAAAAATAAACTGTGTATAGTGGCTCTGTGTAAAAAGATAGCTGTCAGGAAAACGATCAAATACATTTATTTCAAGGATTCAAAGACTAAAATCGGACGTCCGCCTAACGTTGTGAATGAAACGTTACCTGGCGGACTAAAATCGGACGTCCGCTTAACGTTGTGAATGAAACGTTACCTGGCAGACCAAAATCGGACGTCCAAAAACGTCACGGTGGCGTCGCTTGTTAGCTGGGTAGACTGATGTTTAGAATAAAGACACACACATTATTAATTCCCACATATTTACACAGGAAATCTAAATCTGGCAAAATCTGGCATTTATTGAACTGAATGTGTGCTTTCATCTGTGCGTAGTGTAACCGTGCCACGTCCCCGCCCCTTACAAGCAAACAAACAGCTTGGCAACGACGCTGTTCCGTTGAGTCTTTATCAGGTGACTGTGTAGGTCCCTGTCAGACTCATACTACTGTATAAGATGCAGATCAAAAGCATGCCGCTAAAACGCTGCTAATGTCCTCATAATTTCTAAAGTGACATTTTTATTTGTTGTTTTCAGCGGGAGACTGGATGAAGTTCCAGCATATAGAATGAATTTATTTATTTATCCTTTATTAGAGCTCTGGAGAAACTCTTCGCAAACAATGAAAAATTGGCAAAAAGAAAATAAAAAATTACGTGTGTTTTCTTGCTTCGTGTAAAACTCCTAGGTAACACAATGAGGGGTGAAACTTAATAGCTTTTTAACATGACTTTACTATACAGAGTCCAGTTAAGTAGGCACGCAGAAAAACTACGTGGCTGAACCCCCCGAAATTATCTTAAAGTATCGCGCCATGTGCTTTACAAAACCACAGCGTGCTAATACAAAAAAAATGACTAGCTGTATAAAATAAAGCGACAATTGTGTTCAATATGTATATGAATGTAGATAATAACTAATAAATACTCATTTGGAATGGTAAATGTGACAAGCTATTTATTCATGATACTTTGTCGTACAGTATATCCAGTCATACTCATAGTAACTATCATTATCAACATGTAGCAGAGTCACAATATACTCAGGGTAGCCCAACGAAAGTGTACTTTCTATAATTATGATGATCCTAACTACGTTCAAGCGGGTTGGAGCAGGCAAGTCCCGACAGGACAATACGAGTATTTCTAGGCAACTGCGTAACGCCAGGCAACTATTGTGTGAATTGCGTTGTAAAGAAGTCACCACTGGTGTTTGCATGTAGCACAGTAATTTAGCGTGCGTATAAGGTTTCAGGAATGCCGGTGAACGTTTCATGTCCCTGCCAATGTTGTCTACTGGCGCTGCCGAGGCAACACCAATAGCATCACGATCCCTGTCAATTCTTTCAACTCCAGTGTGGAGTGTCCAGAACAGGCAGTGTGCGTAGCCAATGATATTTGAAGCTGTGTGACTGACAGAATAATGAACCAGTTACATTTTGTTGTCGTCACCGGCAATCTCACGAGACCGGTATATGAGCCCCGGCGATTAATCCGTTACAGAAGTGCATTCGCTTCGCTGTGAACGGGCTTGTGGCTGAGCTAGCGGTCTGTCTAACGCGAGTTTAAAGTTAAGCTTAATTCCGTTTTCTATTGAAAATGAGGGAGATTGTCCATCTACAGGCTGGTCAGTGTGGAAACCAAATTGGAGCCAAGGTTTGTTGATAAAGCCCGCAAAAACAGTTGAATAATATGAGTTTTATCTCCCTTAATCGGGTTTCAACCTAATTACAAAAAGTCAAAAGACTAAAAAAGTTAATTGTTTATTGGCCGTGCAGCCGTTTCCTTCATTGCTGGCGAGTCTGCTTGCGTAAGTAGGATGCTTGTGAAGCACTAGTTCGGACGCTTATTAAAGCGCTTTAATCTCGCCGGGCAGTTGGGTGACCGCTGTGTACTGGGCTGTTCAGCCGCTTGTTGCTGGCTGTCATGGCGACCGGAGCGCGGCTTTGCCCTTTAGCCGGGATGAGCCCGGGTCGCTCCGTTGCCGTGTCGGACTGATGAAGTGGCTATTCTGTGTCCGCAGTTTTGGGAGGTGATCAGCGATGAGCACGGCATAGACCCCACCGGCACTTACCACGGCGACAGCGATCTCCAGCTAGAGAGGATCAATGTGTATTACAACGAGGCCACCGGTGAGTGGCCGCCGCGCCGCTGCTCTTTACTGGGGCAAGTGGAGGGGGATTTCTGGCATTACTTTGCCTGTCTGTATTGCCCATCGCCTGCCCTTATGTTTCAGGGGGAAAGTATGTCCCCCGTGCCGTCCTTGTGGATCTGGAGCCGGGCACAATGGATTCTGTTCGGTCCGGACCCTTTGGGCAGGTATTCAGACCTGACAACTTCGTCTTCGGTGAGTTGAACGCGGTCTGAGTTAGGGGTGGGCGGTACAACGGTACCATTGTCATTACCGGTGTGGTTGTGCGCCTCGGGGGTGGGAGTGGGGGGACAGTGGAGCCCAGCACCAATACATTTACACAAAAGTTGGAGGAGACTACACTCAGGAATTAAAAAAAAATTAATAAAATGCACAATTATACAACTTTTGCATAATTATACACGTTAAACAAAAATAACTTGGTTGCATATATATACAGTATCAGATTAAAAAGTTATATTTATATCTAGCAACCACATCATACAAAGTGCGTGGTAAAAGGCACAACTGCCGCCGCGTGGTGACTTTGTGCCAATTGTAGCTTCTTAAGCTTGGTATAGGCTAATAGAGTTAAAGTTTGGGAAAGAGGAATAAAAAAGACATGAGTGGAATGTCTGTACCACCCAAGGCGTCAACAGATGAGGAGACTCTTGTTCCAAAAAAGGGGGCAGATCAGTTATTTGGAACTGGTTCAGTTTTGTTGGAGCACATGAAAGTTAATATTAAGATCTTCAGGCTTTTTGCAAAGTAAATGTCATTAATAGTCTTCCATGTCTCCCAATTGAAAAATGATACATTCCATATACTTAATATATTATCAAAACTTGGAAAGAAGTAATATCGTGATATAATATACCGTCACCATCCAAGAAGTAGGGTGGTGTGGTGGCGCTGCTGCCTCACAGCAAGAAGGTCTTGGGTTCAGTCCCAGATCCTTTCTGCGTTGGCGACTGCCCTGGGTTGGTTCCCGCCTGCGCCCATTGTTCCCGGGATAGGCTCCGGTACCCCCCCGCGACCCCAGTTGGACTTTAACGGTTTGCGAAGATGGTTGGCTGACCATCCAAGAAGTGAAAATTACCATGGTAATTTCAGTTGCCCACCCCTAGTCTCAGTTACAAATATGCCACATGCTAAGTTTCTTGGCGTCCATGTGCATGCATGCGAGAAGCTTAACACCATTAAGTTATCCTGTACCTGCTGCTTAACAGGTCAGAGTGGTGCCGGCAACAACTGGGCCAAGGGTCACTACACTGAGGGAGCAGAGCTGGTGGATTCAGTTCTGGATGTGGTGAGGAAGGAGGCAGAGAGCTGCGATTGTCTCCAGGGCTTCCAGCTCACCCACTCCCTGGGTGGGGGCACAGGCTCCGGCATGGGAACGCTGCTGATCAGCAAGATCCGTGAGGAGTACCCCGACCGCATCATGAACACCTTCAGCGTGGTGCCCTCCCCCAAAGTGTCGGACACTGTCGTCGAGCCCTACAATGCCACTCTGTCCGTGCACCAGCTAGTGGAGAACACTGACGAGACCTACTGCATCGACAACGAGGCGCTCTACGACATCTGCTTCCGCACACTGAAGCTGACCACGCCCACCTATGGGGATCTCAACCACCTGGTGTCGGCCACCATGAGTGGCGTCACCACCTGCCTGCGTTTCCCTGGCCAGCTGAACGCTGACTTGCGGAAGCTTGCTGTCAATATGGTCCCATTCCCCCGTTTGCATTTCTTCATGCCTGGGTTTGCTCCCCTCACCAGCAGGGGGAGCCAGCAGTACCGTGCCCTCACCGTACCTGAGCTCACCCAGCAGATGTTCGATGCCAAGAACATGATGGCGGCCTGTGACCCACGTCACGGTCGGTACCTGACTGTGGCCGCGGTCTTCCGTGGACGCATGTCCATGAAGGAGGTGGATGAGCAGATGCTGAATGTGCAGAACAAGAACAGCAGCTACTTTGTGGAGTGGATCCCCAATAACGTGAAGACGGCTGTCTGCGACATCCCACCTCGTGGCCTAAAGATGGCTGCCACCTTCATCGGCAACAGCACGGCCATCCAGGAGCTCTTCAAGCGCATCTCCGAGCAGTTCACCGCCATGTTCAGGCGCAAAGCCTTCTTGCACTGGTACACCGGCGAGGGAATGGATGAGATGGAGTTCACTGAGGCGGAGAGCAACATGAATGACCTGGTATCTGAGTATCAGCAGTATCAGGATGCCACTGCTGAGGAGGAAGGGGAGTTTGAGGAGGAGGGTGAGGAGGAGCTGGCATGAAGGAATCTGGCTTCTGAGTGTTGGTTGGGTTTTTCTCTTTCAATTTATTGTTTTTTCTTTTTATGCTGTCAACCTTAAATCTCTCAAAAAGTTTAATAAAATAGATTGTGAATTAATTTGTAATTGGTTACTGTGTAGTGATTCGTTTCCTTTGATTAAGATCAGCCATGTGTAAAACTGGCAGCTGGGCTTGAGTCTCTTTTATACTGCTCATAGTTCTTCCTTTCAACATAAAAGCATTTGCTTGTAATGGATGAGGTTGTGCAGGAATCTGGTATATGGTCCTAGATTCTCTTCATGACAGAAGGTTCATGTCACTGGTTAAATTCTTGCACACACTTTCTTTTTAAGGACAAGTGCCCTGAATTCCCTTGCCTCCTTATCCTCTTGGCTGATTAGGCTATGGGTAATGCCTTTTTTTGTTCCTGAAAAAAATGTTTTTAACCTTCTTTTGCACAGCTGCCACATTTGCCTCTTCATGCAGTGGTGAGTAGTTTGTGGATGCTGAAATTTAAATGTTTGCCGCCGTAAAGTCATGGTGAAGTGAGTTCAATCTATTATTTTGTCGATGATGAATGAACAAAATAAGACCCGTGTTACACAAAACGGTACGAATGGTGTCCTTCCCAGCTGGATGAATGGAGTTTGTCTGCCATCTAGTGGTAGATGGGAAGTAAAATTACTGAAATACTACGTAGCAATTTTCCAACCGCACATTATTAATACCCGGTTGAAATAGTTACACTGATTCTTGTTGTAGTGTAATTCAAAGGTCGAATGCTTAGTGTTAGTTTTGTGACCAAACAAAAACTTATAATCGAGTATTTGAGTCTACTATGAAAATACTTTAGTATATTTAATACCCAATCCTCTTTCATTTATAACAATTTAGATTACT